CTCTGCGGCCCTTTTCATCTTGATCTAAGCGTTAGCTTATTCAGGGAAATAAGCAAAAAAAAGGATATTCTGCCTTAACTTTAGATCAAACTGGGAAATGAGTCATGAGACGCGGGATAATTACACCACTCAGTTGACAACATTCAGTGCTAATAGAGGAGACAGATGGTAAGTGAACATTCGTTATATTCCCTTAAGAGACAACAGGGGAGTGAAAGTGGCAGTTTGAGCTCCATAGGATGGAGGAAACGCGCTCATATAGCTGTACAACTGGAACGTCGACCGTCTACATGATGCAAATGTCGTGCTTTTCTTTATTTTTAATCACACACACTGCAGTGAGTCCAGTGCAGCAGATAGAGATAATAATCATTTCACTTGACGGCCTGCATTGACCCAAAGCACAAGCAAGAAAGGGTTATGGATTGAAAGATATGGATCGGAAGAGGTGAAAGGGGCGAGAAAATGAAAAGAGAAGTGAGACCTAATTGTTCTAAAGACGTGGTCCTCGCCCAATCACAGCAAAAGAGACTCTCTAAAGATTGTGAGATTCAAAGCTGCATTTATGCGTGCTCCCTAACTTCGCCTCCCACAGGATTCAGGTAGGTGGAGGAGCCATGAGGGGAAGTCAAGCCAGGGGAGAGGAGGAGGAGGAGGAGTGGCATCAGTCACGTAGAAGAGAAGCTGCAAAAACTGGCAACTAAACTGTTACCTATTAGCAGCTAATGGGAAGGTGGAAGACGTCAAGGACTTGCAACACTCCAGTTAACAAACTTTTAAAAAAAAAAGAAAAAGGAACGACAGCATGTACATTTTTGTTGACAGACTCCCTCACACAGCGTTGCGTAGTGAAGCGTTGCTGTTCCATTCAGCTCTTTTAATTACCTGTGTGTGATTTAATCCTTCATATGTCTCAGCCCATTCCTCTTAATGATGTGCTCCATTCAGCTCTCCACAAAACATATTATGCTTGGTTTGTTGGGGGGGGGAGGTTTTTTATTTTTTTTAGTGCTGTTTTTGTTGCTGCTGCTTCTTTCACTTACACAGAGCATCAGTGGCTTCTCCCTTGTCTCGTGAACCACTAAGCAGGGCAAGAAAGAAATGCAAATCCTGGCAAAAGTAATAATGGAAAACATCAAGCCAATTTCCTTCCGCAGGTGACAAGCGCTGTGGTGCATATTTATACAGTCTGCCGTGTAAATGATATCCATGTTAACGCCTTATTAGCCTTATTAGGTTTAATGCACAATGTGCATATGCATGTGTGTGCATTAATTCAAACAGGCCCAAGCCGTTTCAGGCACTGAGAAAAAAAATTAATCCAGAACACCTGAGTTTATACCTGTATCTGAATAAATGTTTAATTCCTTAATATGACATTTATTCTCATTGCTTTGTTTCTTTCTCCTTCCACCTTTCAAATGAGGCAGTTTTTTCCCCATTTCTTTTCTAAAGATTTCATTTATAAGGTATAATCCAATCTCAAGAATAAACTAGAGGAAAAAGTCAGACACTGCATCCTATTCATCTGAGAAAAAAATCCTCAGTCTCCCAATCCAGCCTCGCAATAGACGAATAGACTTCTTCCAACAATAAAATCAGCCTCTAAAATGTTCTCTTTTTTAACGTGTCAGTTTTGAAATTAAGAGCCGCTTGGTGAGCTTTCTGCAGCCAGACAGCCCACCTCGTCCAAGGAGAAACAGGAGCATCTCACCACCTTGAGATAAAAATGTGGCATCTGTGAGAACGACTCATCTAATCCCAGAGTGCACGCGACAATTAACCAGTAATCACAGCAGTGTCACATTCAAACTTTTTAAAGAGTCTCCGACTCCCCCTGTTTAAACCGACGCCGGTGTGGTTTTGGTTTTTGACGGGGGGGGTCTGGATGTCATCAAGGATTGGGTCAAGGCTGTGGGTATATGAGAGACTCGTGCACACATGCTCTGCGGGGATCTCTGATTTTATTTTTCGTTTTTAAGGAGGAAAACCGTCGCTCTGAATGAACTGATGTCTAACTTTGGATCGCAGACACCGTTCAGGCTACCTGGCGCCTTTAAATGGGGCTTGGGCGATAACAGAAAGCAGAAGCGGCGCAGCGCAAAAGGGCTGTGCTGTTTAGGGAAATGGAAGCTTTTTCCCCCCCGACCCAGAGCACCCATTCGCAGTCATCCTAACCACCAACCTTTGTTTTTTTTTTCTTCCTTTTATTAACCTTGGAAACTTGAAGCTTCAGTTTATAAAAGTTATTGCTCGTAGCTTCTGCTGGGAGGACAGCGTCCCACGGTAAGTCGTGGAAAGGGGCAGAAAGGCGCAGATAAACGCAGCAGCGTGTTTTGGAGGAACAGGAGCACAAAAGTTGGCACCTCCACCAGATTCGCTCCGCTTTTTCTTTCAGTGGACTTTCATCCGCATGGTAAAACTTCCCAAACGTGTCCACGAGATCGAGATGAACGTGTGCCTTACCTGTTGGCCCCTCGATGCCATCGGCGTAGATCTGAACAGTCAAAATTAAGAGAAAGGCGCAGGTGTTCATCGTGTAGATGATTTAGTCCACTTTAAATGTGCAGAAGAAATCATTTCATTTACTTGGTGCGATCCGGCAGCGCAGGCAGAGCGGAGCCCATTTAGTCCCCCCCCAAAAAAAATCTGACTGAGTGGAGTTTCGGAGACACTGAAGCAGACAGGGCAGAGCTAGTTCTGCAAACTGACGTCAGGGTAAACATTTCAGGGGAGAGATTTCTTTCTCAAGCCCACTTTCAGTCCCAGCCTCCACTTCGCCCTCCGCGGGATTCAGAGTATGAGCCGGGCGCCTCCAAGCGGTCAGATCTATCAATGGCACCGAGGTGCTCAAACGTCGGCGAAGCAAAACCCCACAATGTGAGAGATTGTGTGTCTCTATACCTGTATGTTTGTGAGAACCCTTTAGTTGGCAATCACTTTTTTGCGACTCTTTTATTTGACCTCACTGCCTCAAAGTGCTATCTCATGTGTAAAAGTAGATTGTAAGATTTAAAGAAAGGTTAGTCACGCTGCTTTAAGAGGTCCAGACACAGAGATTAGATTTGGCTCAGACAGTGAGATACTTTTCATATATTTAATGTTAAGGAGAAGCTCTCTAATCTTCCCTGGCCAGAGGCTCCAAACACAGGTACAGGAGTCTGATAACAATGCCTACAGGCGGAGGAATAGCCTACTTATTATTCCAGCTAAAGCTACATCACTGCACACAGTTGAGAATTAAAACTAAACATTTAAATATGCTAAATCATGTTTTAAAATCATATCAGCAACCTGAGGACTAATGAATCAAGTAATGCACAAACTACCCTGGAAAAAAAGATTTTTTTTGTCATGTTAGCGACTGTTTTACAGCTGAGGTAAGACGTATACTCACACAAGACAGACAGGTAAGCATGCCTTCACGCCTACCCATGACAGGTGCAAAGCATATCTCTCCATAAATTATGTGGTCTGTCATGTTGTGTGCATTGAATTTGCATTTAATGAGACTACATTTTCTCTCCAACCCCAGCTGGCTGTGTTTGTTGGAGTCCACCTGATATAATGGACGGCAGAAATCAGGTATCATGCAGAGTGAAATATAAAACACAGATGGAGCGACTACATGGAAAGAGGTAAGAACCCCACCGTGACTTTGATACGTATAAATGCATATCTGGTTGTCTTGCTTGTCCTGTCTGGTGTGTGTGAAAACACAAGTTGTGTATTTGAATATGAATTCCTGGATATTCTTTCCATCCAGCAACGTGTGCACTTGTATTTGATTACAGCTTTTTTCTTCCCAGCCTAAACGTCTTGCGTAAGTGCTGATGTGACAGTCGCTCTTGTTCAGGTTAAAAGCTGACACGTTTAGCTGCTGCTCCAGGACCCCCAATTTGATCAAGATGCCATTAAGCAGGCTAATCATCATTCATTTTGCTGCGATGTGTGAGCACTAAGGCCGTGGATTAAATTAAAGGTGGCCACAGAGATGCATCTAAGTCCAAACATGAGAGCACATTGCAGACTTTAATGCCGTTAGCCCGGAATGACAGATGAATGATATGACGCTTAGCCGATTACTTAATTTAACCAAAGGAGCACAATATATGTCAGGCTAACAATTCTAATTACACCTGCGTGATGCACAGCAGAGCTTTTCTTCCAAGTATTCGAGCCACAGAGCAGCAATTTATATAAACAAGCTCAGAATTCTCCATTATAGTTTAATTTGTGTTCAACTTAATAGAATGTTGCAAAATACTGTTCGAATAATCCAACAGCAGGACAGGTGTCAGCGGAGATGCTGAGAACCGCACTACGATGAAAGTCATTTTATCAGCTGCCACTCACGTTGCCTCACAAACAACTACATCTGCCCAGGCAGTGTTGTGCATGAATTGATAATAACATATCATCAGAGTTCTGAGAGAAGCTGTCAGAGGCAAATCATCAGCGTCTATCACGCGGCCTCGGCATGCAGCTCGAAAAGCAAACAAACAGCGAAACGCAACGGGGAGGCAAACATGAGAAGGCTACTGTACTTCACTGTGTGTGGCCTAAAACGCTGAAGATCGGTCAGTCAAACCGGCGATACCTTAAAAAACAGGACAATTTCCACCGGCTGTCAAAAAGAAACTGCAAGTCCAACACAGTGATAAGGGAACTCACAGCAGCAGTGTTTCCTCCTCTGCAGGCTGATAAGCTGTTCAAATACACTCGTTTCTGTTGTGAGGAGGTCAGTAAGGTAACAGGTGTCCGCGTGAGACGTTAGAACAATCTGACTGTGAGAAGTAATGAGATGAATGAAGCCGCTGAGATTAAAACCAGCAGGGAAACTTTGAATAAACAATGACCTCTGTGCGCAATTTATTGGCTTCCTGCCTGTACGGTCAGTAGATTAACCACCAACGTTTTCCAATTTCCATCAACGCCCTGACTTTAAAAAGGATCAGTAAATTGAGTGGTGTGAAGTTAGCGCTTGAAGAAAACTCACACGCTGCTGCTGTTAAAAATTCAAAATGCGAAGGTTTTTATTCAAAATGCATTCATTATCGCTCAAGGTCATTTTGATGGCTATTTCTCCCTTCTTACTTTTAACTAGCAAGGGGATAGTTACTGCAAGATTCTGTATTTGTTAGTACTCAGTGTAAGGGGCGTGATTAGAAACTGGGAGCCATACATCTTCAGGCAGGATCCTAATCACAGCCTGAGTGAGAAATATTTCACAAAATCGATAAGATATAAATCGCAAAACACAAGTAACAAAATAAGTATTTTACAAGTTGCTAAAAAAATCTATCATTAATTAGTGACAGTGTTCAGCTAGAGGAAGAGTGTCATCAAAGACGGCAGACTTGTAAAGGATTGGAAACACTGATACTATGTGGGTGATAATAATAAAAAAACAACCAGACCAGCACACCTTCATTGTCACCTGAAATGTCAATGATTTTTTCTGTTAAGTGCTGGTGTCATATAAAATCTCAAAAAGCAGTAATAAATCTTCGTATTGCAAAATAGGGCATATTATGACACCCATAATGACTCGAACAATGGTTTGGGACAGTCGGTCACTTAATCGACGAGTCACTTCAGTTGTATTACCTCTGATGCTGTAAAATCCAGCATTTCCATTTAAGAACATTAAAAAGCGTCTGTGTGAGAAGACAACCCCACTAACCGCTGTCTGTACTGCATATTTCACTGTGGAAAAAGTAGAGTTTGACAAAGTCATATTGTTTTTAATTGTTTCTCCGCTCCGTGTCTTCTTTCAGTTTCCGGCACATTCCCTCAATTAGTCCCGCAGAATCCCTCTGGGGTCGTCTGCCTCACTTACTTTTATGTTTCTTTGATGCCTTTCTCCCCATAATCACCTTTTCAATGTCGTGCAAGCCTTCTGTCGCCTCGTCCCTTCTAACATGAGATCCCTCCCAAAACTTTACACTCCCTTGTCCAGGTTCTTTGTGGATCCCTGATGTGTCCTTTCTCTTGTTGCCTTCCCTTCCCAGCCCATGAAACTTCTCCTGGTTGTCTGCCTCACTGATCTCTCGGTCCCCCTCCAGCGTGGCACTGTGGACATCCCTGTCTGTCCTGCCAGTTTCAGCATGACAACGCTGGCTGGTGTAGGCAGAGAAATGGGCAAAGAGCTGAGGGTTTATTGTGAGATGAGGGTAAGATGCAGCACATAAACCTGTGATAGAATGAGGCTGGATCGCTGTGGCTGATTTGACAGAGGGCAGCGGGCTCTGGGGATGGCTGCTCGTCTTGCTTTTACGCTGAGTTCGAGGGTGTTTTAGTGATGCGGCTTTTTTAGATGTCCCTTTATCACAGCTCTGCTTCCCCTTGTCCTCCGAGAGCTCATCGAAGTCTACACAAGAAGAAAATTATCGTTAATTCGCTTCATCGGGGTATCTCTGCATGTGCCGCGTGATAGTTTTGAATGCTTTCTCACCATAAACACTGTTATGGATCTTTTTCTTTTCAGTCTGGCTGCGCCTCAGGTCTGTGGCTTGTTTCACCGAATCCAAAAGCCCAAACATCTCACACAAGGAATTAAGCAGCATGACATCTAACAAAATAATCAAGAGTCAGCTACAAGGCTTTTGAATGATTTGTCCACAATGAAGTCAGCTGTTTGCAAAATCAATAGCAATGAATTTTCAAAGATTTAGCTGGTGGGGCCTTTATTGAAAATCTTTTTGAAACCTGATTTTTCAAGTTTTGACTCAGCTGACGTTTTATTAACATAAACACTGAATCATTTTTCACAGTCCAGGGGTTAGATGGGTCCCACTGTGGGCACTTACCTGTTTCCTGCAGGTTTCCGTTCTCACTGCGAAGCTCCACCCGCTTAAAAGTGCTGAACAGTTCATTCTGGAGGCTGGATAGGACCTCCCCCATCATCCCGCAGTCTGCCACACCCTTCCACAGAGTCAACACCCCGTCTACAGGAGGTCAAATAGGTAGGGCGTTATAATGGGATATCAAGAAATCTATGCAAGTGTGTGCATGTTTGTCCTTTCTTTTTGTTAGTTTGTGTAAAAGTATACAATGCTTTGTGTTGCTGTGGGGACAGGCAGCAAGAAAAATAGGGTTGGAGGTGAAATTTGGAGAGAGTCAGAGCTTTGAAAGAGGAATAAAAGAGAGAAGAAAAACCGAAACAGAATATGTCAGGGTTGGATAAACACTGGGAACAAATATACAGAGATAAAGGAAATAGGAGTGATGCAGCAGTTGGAGAGAGGATGTCAAATATGTGACAGAGGGAACGACAAAAGAGTGTGAAAATGGGTCAGAAAAGAGGTGCTCCAAGAGGGGAGAAAGGAGGGCAAGGCGAATTTGAGAGTGAATGAAGAATTACTGGAGATCTGCCAAAAGAAAAGGAAAACAAGTCAAGCGCATGAAAGTGGTAAAAATGTCAAAGATGCTTGATATGAAATGCATGCAAATTCATGTTTGCTTAAAATCTGTCGAGATAAATGCAGAATGTCTGGTGAAGATATTCCAAATACCGTTTAAGGCCCTCCGAAGTTTAATTCATTCATTTCTTTACATCGTGCATTACAGAGAAGCAGCACATTTCTTCAGCAGCTGATAGAGGAGTAGAGGTATAAGCTGTGAATTGGCTATATGTTTTAAGCCCTATGACAAGCAGCACTCCATGTGCTGTGACACATTTCCATTTGCCCTTCACTAAACCATCTCAGGCTATTTTACTGAGGACCCGGACTGAGAGCCTGACAATTTATTTGGAGCCGATACCTATACCTATTTTTAGAAAGTAAAACAATTCAGATATCAATATTGAACATTATTCTTATTATTAAAACCATCTGTAAAATACCACCACACGTTTTACCTTTTTAAATCGGCACAAACTGTTCCGTGCAAAATTGCTGAGCCACTCCTTATTTCGTTTTATTTTGCTTCCAAGGAAACGAGACTTTTTTTTTTTAATTTTTAAAGCGAGCAGCAGTTCAAGTCCAGGTTTTCTGAAGGTCTTTCAAACGTTTTTTCAGTCCAGTCCTTGTACCTGACCTGATTTTAGTGGAATGTTTCTTTTGTTTGTTAAGTCGTTTAACATTGACCTGTGAATCTTTCAAGCATAAAAAAAACATTACACGTGACAAAGAACTAATTTTAAATTGTATCTTGATGGAGTTTATTACAAGCAGCCTGTGTTAGATTTCGGTTAGATTTATGGAAGATGCCAAAGATGTCACGGTTTGATATGCAAAGTATTATTGAAAGGTTTTGTCATGGTTCATGGAAATGTTGGAGATCGTGTCAACAAACTTGATGGAATTCTGAACACAGAAAAACACCATCAGATTTTGATCCGCTATGTAATACCATGTGGAAAGAATCTGACTAACACTGGCTTCACGTTTCAGCATCACAGTGATACCAAACGCACAATGGAACACTATCGGTCATGGATCGGCCTCCCCAGAGCCCAGAACCTCCTCGAGACTACTTAAAGAAAAGTTGAAAAAAGCTTGAATCAGAGGTTTCAGGCTGTGTTGAAGATTAAAGGTGGTCACACCAAATATTGACTTACAAGCTTGTTAGAACTTTACAAACTCTGTTTTTGACTTATATACTATACTTCAATGTATGTTTTGACATTTTAGTAAATCTCGGCACATTTTTCCCTTTGTCCTAGCAAAATATAAAGAAACGATGGGTGTGTCAAGACTTTTGCACAGTACCAATATCGATGCATCTCTAGGCTAAAGATGCATCGATATCTACTGTCATCTACTAAGCTAGCACCTGATAAGGTCACTTAAAACACCCTTAAATCAAAGTTTTGGTTAGAATAGCACTTAGAAATGTCAGATGGGGTCAGCAGCTCTTTAAGGACGGTCTGCAGGAATGGCACAACTGCAGATTCAAAGGTTCAGTGGTTTGGTTGAGGGGTCAAACAATTGATGCTGCAACAGGTGTGACACAAGGGACAAATGGACTGCAGGATGACTCATTTAAACCCTTCAGGGCAGGTTTCAGGGCTCACAGACGTACAACCTCTTCAAGATCTGTGGGCTGAAGTTGTGCCTCCACCCATGATAGCATTGAAACTTTTAAAGTCAAACATTTCTAAGGAACATTTCCTTTAACAGGTGGAAAAGTAACACATGCCAGGAGTAAATAAAACCTTCATGATGCCAGAGCCTACAGGACATATTCTAGCATATAACCTGACAGACATTTGCAGTTAAACATGTGACTTGCACATGCTCCATGTGCTGTGCCCAAAACTGCAGTAAGCCACTAAATGGCTTCTAAACAGAGCATATACCCATGTGGTGACTGCTTAAACACCCAAAATGGAGCAGTAGAGGTGAGCGGTTTGCTGCTGTGTAGGCTATCATGAAAGGAGATGCCATCTGCTTTCCCGGTTCCAACAGTGACTGATTGTGCACAGATTTTCCCGCTGAACAGTAATTATCTGGGTGTTATCTTTATTTAAAATAGGGCGTACCTGCCTTATGCAGTTTATTAATCTATTCAACAAGCACCCCAGTGTATGCACGTGTTCTTATAATTACCAGGTACGTCAGCCAGCTTTCTTTTGGTAGCATGTCCATTGGCTGTTACAGGGTTTAGAAGCCTCCGTGGACCGTTGCTCCACTCTGCTGCTGCACTAATCCTATCCTGCAAACTCTCCTGCACCTCTGCCGCCTTATGTGCATCTTCTGAAATGGGAACAAAATGCAGTGAAACCCATAATGTGACCACTCCTCTGGATTTTATTTTCTTCTGTGCGGTGGTGAGGTAAACATTAAAAGCAAACTTTTTATTGCTGATGTTTATATTTAAACGTCAAGCTTATTAAAGCGTTCACTACTTTCCAAAAAATAAAAAACCCCTAAGGCTGTGTTTCTTTTCTGTAAATGTTCAAGTGGTTTCCAAAGGGTTTAGGTTCTGTTTCCTGAGTGATGCCGCAGCAGCCCAAGCATATGTGGGAGGCAAAAAAAAAGCAGCAAACTGAATGCCAACTGAAATCTACCTGTCACGGGAGACACCTGCCCTCCAACAGGGTCAAGAGCCAGACACGACAGGCTCGGCTGCACCGAGTTCCCAGGAGGAAGCCGCGTTCTGCTGATCAGCACATCAAATTTAGTGCTGTGGCAGGTGTTGCTGCACAGGGTGTCATGCTGGTAGAAATCTATCTGGCCGGAGTCCATCATTTTCCTGCACGGGGAGAGCCAGGTTAACACTGCAAAGTTTCCAGGAAAATATTTACGCTACGTAGCTACGGGGGGATGTTAGGACTGAATTTCCAGTGAGTTCCTGATAGCTTCTCAGCGGTGTGCTTGACACAGAGTGCCTTGATCTGGCCTCTGGAGGAATGAAGATGAAAAGAACAGATAGGGCCTTTTGAGCTTTGTGTACCATCTCACAGTAATACCAACAACAAGCGCAAACATGATAAAGAGGTGAGAAGTGTTTCTCGGCAGCTTGCATCCGTGCTATTTGATCCTGCTATCATGATAATGCCACTTACAGACTGCCTCTGGAATGCACCGGCAAACCCTGACAGACTCCAAGCACTTGCAAATTATATGAGTGAGACTTTAGCTGTGCGCCGCTCTACAACAAAAAGCAGACAAAAAGAAGTTATATGAGTCTACCTGAGCATTACTCCTCCCAGCCTGATGGCTCTTTTCCAGTCCTTTAGAGTAGCTTTCCCTGCCAGATGCACAAACTGCTTAGGACTGATGAGCTCGTCATTGAACTGTTAAAAAAAAAAAGGGAGGACAGCACACATTATGTTTCTGAGAGAGTAATAAGACAGAAGGGACCAAAATGCCATCGCGGAGAAAGGTTTTCAAAAATTAATTTTGCAGTAATAATAAGGTAATAATTAAACGATCACACTAAACATCAACTTACTTTGACGCATCTGACGTTGATTCCGGGGCACACAAACTTCTTAAACAGCAGCACCGCCCTGCTGTCCCCGCAAGTGATGGGGTAGCCATACTCAACCTCATCTCCATCTGCTTCACTGTCATCTAAACGTTACAGAACACAAACATCGCCGTGACCGCCTGCAGCGCCATTACATTGTGCATTTGCAGTAATGAAAGTCAGAATCGTCAAACACCCCAGGAGGTTTGTCAATACTCTCCGTGTATATCTGTTAAATGACAGTGAAGCTTGAGAGATTCATTATTCCGTTTACTGCATCGGTTAGACTGAATAAGCTGTGTGTTTGAAAGGTTCAGTTCAGCAATTAGTTGCAATGTCTTTGTGTCATTCACCATGATGCGTCTCTATGGCCAGGACTGTAGTGCCAGTGTCTGCAATGTCATCATTCATCCTGCAGAGGGCGACAGATCCACACATATAAAATAATTATTTATTGCACGCAAGCCTTGGAAATATTCTTAAAATGCGTGCAAGTTGGCTGCATGTATACGCAGAATGACCAGATGTCACTCTTTATGTGGGACTGCAAAGCATTTGTATTGTTTATAGAGGAAATATCCTCAGTGTCAGTATTTGTTAGTTTGCTTTAAAAAAACTTTTACAATTTGACTGATAAAGCATTGATGACGTCTTTATTGAGACTTTGGATGTCTACAAGAATCTCAGCCTCCATACAATAATAATTTAAGAAGTCTAAAACTAACACTAAGAAAAAAATCAACTAAAGCCAAACATTTCCAAACAATAAAAATACTGGCAGCCACCAGTGCTACTCAGTGCATAATAAAGGAAGATTTTTTACTATAGTCAAAGGAAGGTCAGCCTGCATGATGCTATGCCTGTCAATGACATTTTCCCCCCCCAAAAAAATCTGTCTTTTTTTGGCAATCTGTGAATGCATCCGTACTGAAACTCAAAGACTGTTAGCTAAAAGAATCAACAGTGAAATAACAATAACTTCAGTTTCCTTTTATGCTCATTGTATTTATTTAGCAAGAGTTGGAAAGGTTGCCTTTAAATATAATATAGTTGTTAAGGTGTCTCACTTTAGGATGTGGTCATCTTCTGTATACCTGCCTGATTTTGTGTTCTTTGAATTAAGTCTGCATTAAACAACAGATGTATCTCACATAATTTGTTTAACACAAAGATCACTGTGCTCTTCACACAAACAAAGCGCTTATATTAATACGAGCCACTTTACCCATGCAGGACGGGCTGCAGGTGCAAGAGGACTTGAGATTTTTGCTCAGTACTGCTGTGCTCTCCCTCCTCTTCCCTCGCAGTCATGACCTCCTCTGAAGACACGGTGACCTGAGCACCCGCCATCACCTCTCTTCTCGGAGCTGCAGACAGAAAAGGGCGAGCAGGCGTGTTAACGTCCACATGACAAGTGTGCACGCTTTAATGCACATGCAAATCACTGAGTTTTACCCGCCCACCCCCTCTAACAGCCTTTTCTTGCATGCAACTGTCATAGAAATGAGTCCATACAGGGCTTAAAATGACATAATCCTCACATCACCGGGCCTTGCTTCCTATGCTGCTGCTAAGAATGCACAAGAACATCGTAAATACTGAAACAAAAGCTTACAGCTTTTACTAAAGCACTGCCTACAAACGTAACACAGCAAACTCTATTCAAGGATATTCATCTATTTAATTCATTCAGTCAAAGGAATAATCTGACATCAGATCAGTCAGTCTGTTGAACAAATGCAATCTGCAGGAGCATTGTTACCAGATGAAATAAAGCAAGCTCTAGTTTATATCAGTCTGCAAAGCATGCTGCCATGTAGCCTGCCTATATGTATGTGTATGTGTGTGCTATAATTATGGCTACAGAACACCTTAAGAATTTGCTTTAAAAATTGGCACATAATCACATTATGGAGTGGTCAAATGTGAACAAAGTACCCACTGGACTGTGATAATATACGGTCAGTGCGAAATGGGAAACCGCTCCAGGGTAAAAAGCTACCGATGAATAATAAATAAAGTGCCTTTGCAATCATTCGAGCCTGGTTCTCTCTATTATATCACTTCAGTCCAACATAAGTAGGAGATGATAGCAGATACATATGAAAAGCACCGAGGAGAAACTCATTTATAAACTGTCTGGGTGATTCCACAGCAGAGACACAGTGGCTGGCAGGCTTGTTATGCAGTAAAGAGCAGATAACAGCACTGATTAATAACTTCCACGCTGTATTAAGTGGCCTTAACGCAGTGTGGATCACCAACTCATACAGCACGAACAGTTGCGTGCCTTGCTCACACTCCTGCACCCACTCAAACTGACGTCTGCTTGGTGCGGAGGCACGCACACCCCGACAGGGACGCGCGACCCTGTCCTTTGAAAAAATAAAAATAAAAAGGCGCACAAAACACCGTGTCCCGTGTCAAACTCCCACACACTCTACCTGCGACTGTATGTAGACATTGTCGTAGTTTTACTCACCGTTTTACAGCAGGGGATAATTCATCCTCCGGTCGTCAGAGAAGTGCGATAGCATGCGCAGTGCTGCTTCGCTTAGACTTCCTGCAGTGAAGGCAGCATTTGCCTGAGAAGCATCTGTCCCGCTGTCACGAGAAGCGGTTGGCTCGCACGCGATGTGTAAATCGGTCAGACTGCTCTTATGTGGCTTGGATTGAGCGCCTCCACGGCTGTGCACAGGCTGAAAGCTCTCCAGCCTCAGAGCATGTTTCCAATCCAGGGAAAATCCGCAAGAACTATTATTATTATTGTTAGTAGTAGTAGTAGTCGTATCATTATTATTACACAAATTACATATCTTAGCTCAACAATTTGGGTTTTGTTTAAGTTGTTACAAGTGTAGCTTTATGGTTTTAATACGACAGGCTCGACCCTCACGTCACCTACATATTTGATTGATTGATTGAATCTTTATTTTGAACATGTTGAAAAAGTACAAAAAAATAGAATTAAAAGAGACAAATGAACAAAGCAAAACAAAAGGAAAACGAGCAACCACAACTCCAAATAACGTTCATGTTCAAAAAGGAGCAGGAAGAAGCATAAGCTTATTTAATCCCACCCCTTTTCCACTGTCTAGTATCAATAGACTACAGAAATACCTCCTTGCAATTACATTATATGTTATGTGTATTTTTTTATTTATATATATACATATATGTTTCTATCTATCCATACATACGTATATAGACATACGCACATATACACATTTTCAATAACCCCATTAACACCTCAAGGATACACAACCTACAAATATATATATATACCCATACCAACATACCCGTGCACCCGCACACACATGAAAATATTAGACAAGAACATATCAAATCTCTCCCTTTTCCCTGTACCCTGTAAAAACCATATCCTTAAACCGCTTTTTAAACTGCGCCATGCTCGGACATTGCTTCATATCTTTACTTAGTCTGTTCCACAGCTTCACTCCACACACAGAGATGCAAAAACTTCTTAATGTTGTACGGATACGAGGATGTTTTAAATTTAATTCCCCCCTCAAATTGTATCCCCGTTCCCTTTTAGAAAACATTTTTAGAATATTGTCAGGAAGCAGGTTATTTATTGCTTTATATATAATTTGTGCAGTGAGAAAATGAACCAGATCTGTGAATTTTTAAGAATAGTGGATTTGTATGATCTCTGTAACCAGTTTTATGGATTATCCTTAAGGCCCTTTTTTGTAATATAAAGATTGATGATGGCGAACATTTGTAAGTATTGCCCCAAACCTCTGCACAGTAATTCAAATACGGTGCAATCAGGGAACAATAGAGAATGTGGAGTGATTTGTGGTCCAGAATGTGTTTTACTTTACTCAAGATTGAGACACTTCTTGAAATTTTGTTATGTATATGATTTATATGAGACTTCCAGTTTAATTTATCATCTATAATCACACCAAGAAACTTATGTTCAAGTACTCTTTCAATTTCCACACCATCTAAATGAATCTGCACTTGTGCATTTCTAAGGGAATTCCCAAATAAGATAATTTTAGTTTTACTTAGATTTAGCAATAGTTTGTTCCTGTTAAACCATTTTTTAATTTTGCACATTTCTGAAGTAATTGTATCCAGCAGCTCCTTTAGATTCCCCCCAGAACAAAAAATATTTGTGTCATCTGCAAATAATACTAATTTTAATATATCAGAAGCCTTACAAATATCATTTATATAAATAATAAATAATTTTGGATACATATTGTACTTTACACTCTACACCTGGTCTTGATGGTCGAAGAATGTGTTGATGCAATAATAATGCAATAATATTTAACAAGCATGGACCGGACCAGGGATTTTTTTGAGGTGACCTTTGGAGAGTCAGACCAGCAGGTGGTGTAATCCTTACAGCCAAGAAGCATCAAGGCTGCCCAGATTGGGGCTCGTAGTGCAGCAGGATCAGCTCTCCTGTTCATGTGTGTCGTGACCAGAGCATGCTCCAGCTCTCTCTCAGGTACAACAGACCCACATCTCCAATATTCTGATAACTTCCAGTCTATAACTTTAAACCAGATGATGAATGCATGCATGGCCTCTCAGTCTTTCTTCTTTAAAATGACAGTCAGAGTGCTCCTAGATCACATGAATACTCTGTGATACTTTGATTGGGGACTCATGGCATTAAGTGAATAAATACTTCAATGTGTTCATAATTTGGGTGCGTTTGACAGGAGTCTCCTGGGACAGCGACAAAACGATGTTTTTTTAAAAGCACTTGTCAAAGCAGAAATGTTTTTAAAGTGAAGAACTAACTGATTGACGAAGACATTAAAAGGCTGGAAAAATAGAAAAACACACGTAAGATTAAAGAAAAAATACATACCTCTAAATCTTGAGGAAAATGATTAATCGTGGCTCTAGAACAGGCGCTTGTTATATTTTTGTTGTTGCCTTGAATTCACCGGAAGATGGCAGTCTTAGCACTTAGACTGAGAAATTCGGGCGAGTCAATAAAGCGAACAGACGAGGTGTTTCTGAATGTTTCATGTTTGCTTTAAAACTGCACTTTCCACCTTTGACACGCACGCATCTTCAAATAAAGATCCCGGTTCGGCATTTCCATCGTTTCTAATGAGAGTAAATAAGAAGCACTGCTACTGCTGGCTGGTCTCAGGTCAGCGAACACCTACGGATCACCTACTATTTGGGAATGGAATCCCGGACACCAACTTGATTGACGCTTCAGGAGAGCCAATTGGAGACGGGGTTCGACACTCGTGACCAATAGTAAATATCCAGTACTCTGTGCTCCAACTTTTTATTGAAGCAAGACCCCTCGAGTCAGCGAGGCATGCACCTTACTTTTTTCTCGCCGAGCTCCTGGAAATCATGCTCGCAAAGTGCGAAAACATCGGGGATGCTGTGAAGTCTTTCATTGCCGGTTTGTGGATCGCTTTAAGCGTCTGTTCGGTGTGTGTTCGCGGCCAGGAGGGTAAGAAAACGCCTGTTATGTTGACGCTTTTGATAAGATAAGGATTGTGACGTGGGGGTCGGATTTTCGCACATTTCGTTAGCTGCAACTAGAGCTGATAAGTAACTCGCTTGGTTTGAAGAGTTTCCCCCGTTTTTTTTTAATTAATCGCACGATTATTAATAATCAAGACTCCTTTAATCATTAAGCATCAACACCTTTAAAACACATTTCTGCTGTGTTTAAGATAGTTGTTGTCATATAACCCTGCTAACTATTGCTGTTTAATGCATTTTCACCAGAAACTGTTATTGGAAAGGCCACCATACCTTTTCCTGTATTCTGCACTGTACACATCCACACTTATTTTGCTGTTCCGATCATCTTTATGGCTCTAAGCCAGATTTAAAGTGCATTAATGTGTCTGTATTTAGGTGCAAAGGTCGCCGATTGGAAGTCATGTTAACAGTTTTTACAAACTCTTTCCTTGCCCGTGTGTGCCTAGTGATCCCAGCAATTCTTTCCCAGAGTCTTTTTCTTTCTTTCAACACATCAGTCAGGCCTGTTATGAATCACAGTGACCATATATAAACATAGACAAACCAGCTATTGCCCTGCAGACTATGACTCCACCAGTCAGCCATACCACAAATCTTCAGTGTTGTTTTTGTCTGTCTCTGGGGCTTTGATTTCCGCACATCGGAAGATGATTAAGCCCTGGATACATCATTATTTAACTTAGCAAATATGCTATGCCCCAGCTTTGGTGGGGCCTAGGTTTGGGGGAAACATTTCTACCTCCGGGATTGAATAAGGGGATGTAGTGGCAGGTAGCATAGGTGAACATCCTGTCTGCTAGTGTGGACCTGTAAGGACCTGCCAACAAAGCATGAAGTGGAAAACTATATTGCTGGCGTGTTTCTGATGGACTGTCTGCTATCCTAACACCCAAGCTTTCTGTGGTTTAGCTCCTGAGATTTCTAAACAGGTCAGAACAGCCCAGCAGACTGTGGGTGAAACAGCCCAGTGATCAGGGGGGCAATTACTGGTCACCCAGACATTTCCCAACATTACGCCCTCTTTAAAGCTGGGAAAAGTCCCCCGTGGCCGGCCTCCGGAAGGTGACAGATCCATGCTCTGCTGCCCAGAGTTACAGTATGTGGCTGCGGTATTTCCAGGGAATCCTTTGGGGACTTGAGGGGGGACAATAACAGTCGAAGGTTTATGATATGAGGAACTGAAGTGCTGTTGGGAAGGAGGTGACCAGCTCGGCTGATGCAGGAGGAGACACAGGGCGAATGGAAGGCTACCCTGTAACTTCCAGTCAACAAATATTCAGGAGCCTTTTAAGGGAAGCAAGGACAGCGCTGGTGTTTAGGCTCAGACCCTGGTGCCTTCCTCAGGTTTTGACCATTCTTGGAGCACATTACTTGGGGGAGTGAAAAGTGAGGGCAGGGAGTGTTAGTGTCTGAGCTTGTCACCCCCGCAACACCAATCTCTGTGTGACTCCTGTAGGAAAACATTTTTTGTGACCAACAGGAATCTTAAACCATCTGAATGTTTGTGTTTTCTGTTCCTCTTCAAGTGTTAGTCACAGCAAGATGTAGTATATCAGCACTATGCTTTTTTTTCCTTCCTTGCTTTTGCCTGGGGAAAAGCACCTCTTGGTACTTAATCTTAAACAATTATGTTTTGCTCTGTATCCAACGTGCAGGTCACAGGTGTTACAGTTGAGCTCTTCCCTCGTTGGTATTTCAAAAAGTCGTGATGACAGAAGGATAAGCATGCCCTGAGCTGCCGTACATGCTCAGATTAGACTCGTTGCTCACCTGTCTTGAAATGGTGTATTAACAAAGCCTTTAATATTTGTATTTAATTAAGAGAGCCAGTTACGGAGCCGTCTCAGGTTATGTCATTTTGGCTTTCCTTAAGGTCTATAATTCCACTCTGCTCACTGCCGTCAGCAGCTGAACAGTTGAAAATATTAATCAACTAGATGCTGACTCAGTTTGTAAAGATTTGTGACCAAAAGGCAAAAGATGCTGAGATGAGTGCCGGGAAAAAATGTTAGTAATGGAGAAGTTTAAGCAGTTAAACATGATAACTCAAGAAGGAAGTCCCCAAGGATTTTTAAATTGATATCAGTGGTCAACTTTTCTAAAAAATCACTCAGGATTTTCACAAGTGCATCTGTTCGGAGGCTGAGAGGTAGCAGTGGTAGCACCAGTATTTTTTTTATGTTTGAATGATTCATAGGTCAGCGTTAAGTGGCCTGACAAACAAATAAAAGGAAAACATTCCTCTGGTCTGGATGGAGCGTCGGTGAAGAGACAGCCACTGTCGCTCAAGAAACCTTTAACAACATTACAAGAAAATCTGGCTCCTTGGAAGGAAAATTTAAATAAATGAGGCGTGGGTTAAGACCTCTGTATCAGTTTTAGAAGTGAGTGATTAGGAAACATGAAACTGAAAGAAAAGGAAATCAGAAGTTGTTAGAAGTTAATCTTAATTTTTACCGTGTGAACTGTGCCCTTTTTTTCTTGTCGTAGCTTTCTTATAGTGCTTGTTTTGTGTCAGGTAATGGCTGTGGACATACGCTGCTGGCACCAGAGACGGGCACCGTAGCCTCCCAGAACTATCCGGGTACCTACCCCAGTAACACCTGGTGTAAGTGGAGGCTTCGTGTACCACAGGGGCGCACGCTGCGACTGCTCTTTGGAGATTTTGACGTTGAGAGCAGTCCAGGCTGCAGCAATGGCTCTGTGATAATCACAGACAAAAACGGAGAGCACAGCCTGGGTGAGCACACCTCTTGATTGTTTTATTTATTTATTAATAAATAATAAAATTAACATTTTTGGTGGGAGAATAAATTAATTTACTATATTGTAGAGAGTTTGGGGGTCTCTGACATATCAGTCAACAAATTTACTTAAATATTTCTTTTTTATTTTAATAAACATCAAGTTCATTTTCAAACTCTCTCCACATCACATAGGTATGGCCTTTAACTGACCCTTCAGACCTGATTCTAGGGTCTCCTTCCACTCCCTGTCACTCTCATCACATTTGCTGACCCCACTGTGGGAATGACCCTCGCTGTCCAATCGTAGTTTTTCCTCATAAAATCACTTTGTGTCCATTTCTTGTAAGTTGTTAAAAGTCCATTTTAGTGTATTGTTTGCCAGCTCACATAAGCAACAGGTCAGTGCTGTCAAAACATTACCCCGCAGGTTCTCCCTGTGACCCCCACTCACACAAACTTTGCAGCTGGGAATGAAAAGCTTGCAGCTGCCTGATAACCAGATAATCAAGTGTTGTGGAGCGAGGAAGGAAGGATCAGAGTTTAGAAGCACTGCTTTAGCATCATTGCCCTAAGAAAAGTGGTCTAACTGCATAATGTTACCCTGAGGCAATGAACCAAACAAATCCTGTTTTTAGTAAGGAAATGAAATCAAAGTCTGTCTTTTAAACAACCTCATGTGCTTCTTTAGATTCTTTCTTTCAGGCACATGCACATTAGTTTTAGCAGCAGCAGGTATTGTCTCATGGTTCCTGCCCCAAGTCAAAGGTCAAACTGTTCTCATCCTTATTTTACTGAACAGCGACATGTCTTGTGTCATTAATTTAAAATATATAAATACACATTTTAAGGGAGAGGGGAATACAAAAATGTGGTCACACACCAGATGTCTGATGAGAACTTTGCCGTGTCCTCATCAAATCTTAATTGACATACTTACTGACAGAGACTTTGTTCCCACTCATTACTGATGATCTTCCAGTCTGGATTGTATAACTCACTCAGGACATGCCATTGTGCTGATGCACTGACGGAAAAGGCAAACCATATTTCACAGGAGACGTGTAGGTTTTGCAACCAGCTGGATCGTATCTTGAGGGCATAAAAGTTGCTCCAAATTAAGGGTTGAGAGATTCAAGAGATATTCCACTAGGCTGACTATTGTATACATCATCAGATTTCACAGCGCCTCACTTTCTTACAGAAACTTCTTTTTGTTTTGTTTTAGTGTTTTTCTGTCTAACAGACTGTCAAATCTTCATTATTAAGGACTGGAAATGGATGTTTATAGTGCACCGGCGTGTGTGCTGACAGACGTATTTATGTTCTTGTGCTTTATAAACGTAGTTTGCGGGAATGTGTGTTCACAGGTCCTCTGTGCGGGAAGCTTGATGCAGCCGGGAAGAATGTGACATTTAATAGCAATGAAGTAACAATAATGTTCAAGTCGGGCCCACATCGCTCTGGACGAGGGTTTCTGCTCTCTTATGCCACAGATCAGCAGCCAGGTACTCTATAATTTATGCCTTCTGACTGATGTCATGCTGGGTAACTTTTGATGGAAGCTTCTTTGTTATTCCGATTGCATTGGTTTATTTATTTTTCACTGTTTATTTATAGCAGAGTAAATTTGACGCAGAAGGAAATAAAACCACAGAACACCAGAGCATTTCTGGCCTTGGGTAATCTGCAGGGCCAGGGATGAGCCTGTGACAGATTTTAAAATCAACTGTGCACCATATATAATAAATGCACACACTAAAGCACAGAAGCTAAAGGGGAAACAAGGCTGTTACATTATGTTACGTTATGGTTATTTGCCTGATTTATATGTTATATAGGTGCGAGTGGGGTTGTGAGAGAGATCTTTTTTTAAGTTTACACTGATACAATCATAACACTAGCTGTTCTGTGACTATTTATCCTTCAGTATAACACATTTGCCCGTGTGTTGACGTGCGCGTGAGTGTATGACTCATTGCTTATTGGCATTCGCCCTCCATCGCCTCCATGTTGGCTCCGGCGTGTTTGCTCAGAGAGCAGGAGTTCTTCTCCTTCTCTCGGGCTGAATGGAATGAGGCCTCAAGCTTCAGTCTGTCACTTGGACCGTCTCGAGCTCTCCTCCCCTCCTCTTCTTCAGCCTGTTAACCACTCCAAGCCCACTGCCGTCCTGTATTCGTCGCTATAAGGCTTCTGAACCCAGCGGCTACTTGTTTCTTGTTTTCAGGGTTTTTTTTTATTTGTTTTTCTTTGTACCCCGGCCAGTTGTGACATGCGTACACCCGGTATGTTTATTCATGGATTAAACCCCAAATCTCACTAAATGATACACAATATCAGATTCTCCTTGGGTATTTTTTTAAATAACCATGTAGCCTTACTTACTTAGTCTGAATAGCCTATATTTAGACTAAGTCTTAATTTTCCTGGCTGTGGCCTTGTGTACTGTGCACTATGTATCATAGTTTCCTGTTTTTGCTCAGTTGTTTATGAAATCCAGCAGTGTCTGGAGCTAAGTCTGTACTCAGACATACAAACCACTGTCTGTTGGCTGTGATCACACATGGACCTTTCGCTTTGCTCACAGTAACAAAGGCGTTAGTCACATCAACAGTGATGACCACTCATGCCTGACTATAGCACAGTTGTAGCATCCCAGACCGTCTCACACAGTCTGTTGTCTGTTTGTGTGGTTGAGCGAATGCCGAGGTGGTGTTACGTAAGCCCGAGACACATGGTCCACCCGTACATGCTGTCAAAATGTTAAAAAGATTCATTTTGAGGAGCGCCGTTTGAAGTTTTCTGTTTTTGTTTTCAGATCTCATTTCATGTTTACAACGGGGATCTCATTTTAGCTCGCAGCATTTAAGGTAAGCCGTGGACCTCTGCGTCTTCATCTCCGATTCAGTAGAGCTGCAAGTATTTCTCACATGTTGTTCTGCTCCTTCTCAGCGTGTATTGCCCTGCAGGATGCAAGAAGGTCACAGGGGACGTGTGGGGGAACTCTGAGCATGGTTACAGAGATGTAAGCGCAGCAGATTTCATTAGGAAAAGCTGTATTGTACTGTGCTTCTTATCAAATACATGTCTGAAAAGGCTCCATCTCTCTCTTCTGCCACAGACTTCGGTGCTGTGCAAGTCTGCAGTCCATGCGGGAGCTACATCTGACAGTCTGGGAGGCCATATCACTGTGAATCGTGGGAGAAGCCTTACACTGTATGAATCCACCTTTGCCAATGGAGTCCTTTCAAAAATGTATGTGTTTGTTTTCCACATTTTAAATGAGATCTTGTGGAAATGTGTAGCTGCTAGTTTAGTGTAACTGATTTGTATTGATTATCAATATTTCTTTTTCACTTCTTTTGACAGGGGATCACTTTCTGAAAAGAAGCTGCTTTTCATCCAAGGTATGAGCCTGACTTTACATTCACAACCCCAAATAAAAACAGAATCTAGTGATTTGCTGATCTCGTAAAGCCATATTTTATTCTGGATCTGCTTCTTTTAACTCAAAATGTTTTAACTTGGTGAAAGGTACGGGATGCAGACAGGCCATTTCAGTAGCTAGACTTTTCTACCCTGAAGCCTTTCTGTTCTCACAGGTGGTTTAGTATTGTCTTGCTGAGATTATTAAGGCCCTCCCTGAAGTAGAGGTCATCTGGATGGGAGTGCATGTTGCTCTAAAACCTCTATATACATTTCAGCACTGGTGGGGCCTTTATATATGTGGAGACCTCAATTTAATATGCACTGACACCCCTGTACCATCGACCGTTGTCCACATATGGTTTCTTCTTTGCGCGATTGAGGTTTAACCTGTTGCTAATTAACCTAATTAGTTGCATAAATTCCACCAACTGTTTCTTTTTTAGAGCCACTTACTTTTCCAGCCTTTTGTACCAACATGTTTTTTATTATTATTTTTTAATAGCCGTCTTGCTGCCATCAAATTTTAAATGTGCTCATATTTTTAATATAATAGTAAAATGTCTCAGTTTAAACATTTTCCAAGTTGTATTGTGAATGAATTTATGAGATTTGCAAATCACTGCATTCTGTTTTTGTTTTGTTTATTAAAAATGTTTACATATTTTTTACATGTTACACGGTGTCCCAACTTTATTTTATTTTAAATTGGGGTTGTATAACTTCAGATGATGACGTTTAATGTTCACGATGTTTGAGGAAAGTGTTTAGACAACCTTCGGCATGGCTGAGCGGTGTTCCAACAAAGGTAGGAAATAGGATGGACCCCTGAAGTGTAAACACAGGTGGTGGAGCAGATGGCGAACAAAGACCTTGGATGAAACTCTGAACATCCAGGATGTTATGGAGACTGGGGGGACATGGGTTGCATGAAAGGCAGAGTGACAGAATTGCAGTGAGTTTTAAAGAACAGGAAGCCGACACCTATTCACCCAGAGGTGGTGGGCAGGAATCCGAGTGGATCGGAGTGATGACGATAGAATAGTGGGCGAGAAGACTTGGACAGCGTGGGAAAGAGGAAGTAAAGAAAAGATGAGAACAGCAGGAGTAGCGCAAACACAGCTCTTCCTCGCTGAAGCTAAAGGCTTCATTACTATCTGAAGCAACCGGTTTGCTGTTTAGCTTCTTTAAATAAAACGATTTTCATTTCTGCACATTTTGTTTAGGGTTTTTTTTTTTTTTTTTTCTTCTTCTCACTTTTAAGGCAAAACAGTGTCCATTACTTTCTTGATTTCATGCAGTTCATCACAGGGAACATGAATCTGTGTGGTTTATAATGAAAATGTGTAGGCGAGTGTTACTATGAAGCTCAAATTATAATTCATCAGTTTGTTTGTTTTCCTTTGATCCGTGAACAGAGTGTAACAACAACTTGGCTGTTTCTGCTTTAAACGCCTCATCTTTTGCTGATAAAAACAGTCAAGAGCAGACAAAGTCAAGGAACGCCAGAAATAATGATTTCAGCCATAACTTCCTGCTCTGGACAGCAGACAGTAGTGATCAGAGCCCGTGGGTGGAGATGGAGCTGAGCGATAGAAGCAACATCACAGGTAAAAATAACAATAATAAGTATTTGTGTACAAAATATGCTTGGTTTAAGCAATTTATTGTGATTTCATGAATCAGAGATGGACTATTTTTGTTGTTTAAAATCCATGAAGCCTTTTTATTTCTTTTTGAATATTGATCTGAAACAAAATCAAACAAGCGTTGTTCTCTTTCGTCAGGAATAGTAACAGCGGGATCAGATGAGTACTACATGGAATCCTACATCCTTTTATTTAGTAAGGATAGAAAGAACTGGAAGCTTTACAAAGATGCTGCAAGCAAAGAAAGAAAGGTAGGTGTTCTGCTTAATGCTTTCACTGCCCCAACTTCCTGTGCTTTTTAAAGCAGTAGACATGCAGATGCTAACTCATTTTGGTCTTTGTGGCTCTTAGGTGTTTCCGGCCTACGCCGATGGACACCTCAGAGTGCTCAATAGCTTGTTTCCTCCTGTGGTGGCTCGATTTGTCCGCCTCCAGCCGCTGAGTTGGCACGGGAGGGCTTCAGCTCAGATTCAGGTCCTGGGCTGTCCTGTTAGTAAGGCCACACCGAGGTCTTCCCGTCCACCAGGCGGTGGTAGGCAGTAGCTCATAAGCTTCCAGATTATCCACAATAAAGTTTGGTTTGTTTGCTTTTAACATGGTTTGATTTGCAGCTGAGTTTCCTGGTGTGAAGTTTTCCTGTCTCGATAATTCCCCAACAGACTCTCCGTCCATCAAAGTTAACTCGGGTCCACTGCTCCCAAGCCCCACTCCCACCACCACTGAGTGCACCGTGTTAGTTGAAACAAAACAGAGTATGTACTTGTGTCATCCACCAACTCACCTGTATGAAGTTTATACGAGTAGATTACAGTCACACCAGTGCAAACAGGGCAATATAGCCATTAATCTGACTGGCAACACTTTGTACTTTGTAATAACAGCATTCCTTCCTCACACGTGTTCAGTTGTTTACGCAGACTCTCTTGCACTCTTGCAGCCTCCAGTCAGCCAGTAATAGTGGCAGTGGGCGTGGCCCTCGGCCTGATGATATGTGGCAGTTGTGTGTTGGCTGGATTCTGGTTGAAGCGAAGGTACTGCACATGTACTAATGTTTAACTTTCCTGTATGGACATACTGTCACTGATTTTTGATACATGGATTGCTGTCACGAAATATCAACGTTCATTATTTTATTTAACCTCTGAGTTTGTTTTTTGTTATTTGAAATTGTAGGAAAAAAGATTCACAAATGAAGTACTCCTACTCTGTCCCCACAAGTAAGTCTAGCACTTTTCAGATTATTTTTTTTTAATATACTTTTTAGTTATGAATCCTTTTTTAATGTTGCAATGATTTTATGGTTATGATTTTTGTGTAGGTTCTCAGAGTTTGAAGGAAAAGAGTTTTCCCGGCTCACAGTCGTACCCTCTGGTTCGAAACGTCCACGATGCACTACCAAACCCTCCTCTTAATGGTGAGAATTCACATTTTTATCAATTACAGGAAGTTGCTGGTGCCGCTTTGTTCTTCTGCAAGTGTCGTCAACTGCTACCTTTGAAGTTTATTTGTCCTGTTAAGTGTTCGGCTCTCCATCTTTCCCGCTCTAATGGTCTCTAGCTTCAGTGGTCAGTTTGAGTAGCTCACGCCAAGCCTGACAGGCAAACAGTTCTCTCCACGGGCTGTCCATTCTTTCCTCTGGCTCAGCCCATCACCCGGTCACAGCATAAACATTCCTTTCTTTGGTCCACAGAGGCTCACTGAAAGAGACCCTTTAATTGGAGCTCGATACAGGGCACTCAGCCTACTCCCCCCCCCCTCCTCCCAGCAGTCCCATCTCTGCCTCCCTTACCCCTTCCCTCAGTGAGGGGGCCCTTCTCTGAGAGGTCCAGTGATAAACAGGACAGACGGTCAATGCTAAGACAATCAAAGCCCTCAGTAAAGCCTGTCTAATTAAAATAGCTCTGGGTCTTAGACTCCCTGTGTGCTCTTGAAAGTCCAGGCCTCCCACACCACGGCGTCTTCTGCGAGGACAAAGAGTAGTCTGGATGGATCTAAGTGCTAGACCGTCAGCCCTCATCCTTGCGATTAGATGAGACGTTGTTGGTGGCCAGACTTCTCGTGCAGCGCTCTGCATTGTCCTAGAGACAGCTATTTGGTAGAAAAGAAGCAGAAGTTTCCCAGAAATTGATTTGCAAGATGTAAACAAGAAGTGGAGTTTTTCCCATTATCGAAAGTAGCCTGCTGCTACATGTTTTAGTATCTGTGTGTTTAAGTTTGTGTAAAAATGTCTTGATGCATGCTCAATCATCCCCGTCAGGAAATTACAAAAAGTTGATGTTGTTCATCTGGATGTCGCATTTCACTGAAAACGCTGCATCCAGATGAACAAAATCAACAATCAAACCATCAAATCATATAAAAATAGTGATCTGTGACCTACTGATCTGGCAAACCAAGAACTTTTAGGAGCTACGATTCTGCTGGTCGGAAATGCCGACAAATCCCATGACTTTAAAAGCACCCAGACGGGAGTTGCGGTGCATATCTTCACTCTGTTAAATGTAGAGTCTGTTTGTGCACCAAGAAAGTCTTCAGAGGAAAACTACCTCACAGAATTCAAAGCGACTTTTAGGATAAGCCAGAGTCGTTCTGGATGCTGTGCAGAGATAAAACTGAACTTTTGTGGAGAGAAAAACTGAGCAGCTGCTGACAGAAAGAAGACCAGGCTGCTCTGTGGTTGGGTGGCACGAATAAAGGGAAGAACAGATTTTATTAAAATTCAGATTTTGTTGTTGTTGTGCAGGCACTTCAAGAAGCTGGCTTCTAAAGCAGACCTCAAATGTTATAGGATACAGCAGCTTCAGTTTTTAGAACCTAAACATTTTGTAAAAGTCTGCGTGTGTACGATGTAAGTAAATGTGCCCGGGCCCCTCAAACTAATCAACTGCCAAATCCAATTTATGAGGTAACACTGAGTGAATAAATGTATTCACTAGTTTATTGTGTCTTTTTGAAAACAGTTTGGATTTTTAACTTTCTGCCATAGTTGCAGGATTGATGCTACTCTCTTATTGGTCTTATTTATAGTTAGGTCAATCAGGTAGGTCATGTCATTGGTAGCGTTTATGTGCGTGTCACTGTTTCTGTCTGTAAACACGACGGCTCGAAATGCAGGGGTGCAGATTGGGGTCATGTTAACAAGCCATTTATAATTTGCCTTGCATGCACTGAGGTCTTGAAGGTCAACCTAATGATTTATTTCTTTATAAAAGCCTTGTAAGGTGTGTACTGTCAGCATGTAGAAAGTACTGTATAAAGATTTGAAATATCAGGTCATATTTGACCTCTGACCTCTTCTTTACGGTGAAGTAAGTTTACATAGTAATTAATTTTCATAAAAGGTCGATCTTTAAGACTGTGCTTAAAATTCTGCTGCTTTTGTTCTTATTGGCAACAATTAGGAGATGATATACCGGCATATGGAGATACTGAATGTCACGATACAGGATAGATCCAAATATCATGTCAGGTTTGACCTCTGATCTCACGAAGGTTTGCTGTATGTCAGGTGACCAGGAAAAAAAAATCTTGTATGACTTTTCTTACATTTACATTTTCTCTTTTCTTCTCTAATCCTCCCAGACTATGCTGAGCCAGCTCTTACACCTATTGGACATAAAGTTGGCTCAACGTTTAAACCTTCCTCAGAAGAGTGTTATACTGCCCCCTTCACCTGCAGCCATTATGACACTCCTGGCTGCCTGCCCGAGTATGCAGAGCCACTTCCTCCAGAGCCTGAGTATGCCACTCCGTTCTCAGATCAGCCCTCTGACTCCAGCATTATTCCTGCACCGACATCCAGCCACAGTCAGTATGACTGCCCCTCACACAGGGTGCTCTTCAATGGCTACTGCACTCCCGCGCTACATGCCAATGGACCAAGACCAGTCAGTGCTGTCTATGCAGAACCCAAGTCTTGTGATTCTTTACAACAGAAACACACATACGAAGATCCTTTGTGAGCACCGCAAACTTAGACTCAGGAAAAGGCTCTTTGGAGTTGAAATGTGTGTTGGCACCAGAGCAACACTTGGAGTGGTCTGAAGTTGAACAGTGAGCTGGACAGTGCTGTTCAGAATGCACTAACTGGACCTCCCGTGAGTGATGTACCCAAGGAAGTCACTATGCATATGAGGGTATTCAGACTAAACACTGAGAGCCACATGGAGGCAGATATTTCCATCAAGGAAGTACGGGATAGGTTTTTTTTTTTTCTTCATATTGCACAAATAAATACAGGCTCAGTTTGTCTCAGAGATACTGTTTGATGAAATGTTTAATCACATAACTGCACTTTCCAAAAGCACATACAGAAATTTGTGTGTAGTCTTCTCCACAAATTAAGGCAAAACAAAAAATGAATATGTTACAAAGCATTGTATTCACAATGTATCATTTCAAAAACATTTATGAAGCACTATAAATTGTAACCTGTAACAAAGAGTACTGTTATAATTACACATAACCACTAGGTGGCTGCCACGAGCTTCAGACGTTAAGCAACAATGGACTGTGTAATTATTTGTCTGCGCAGATAATTATCACCCGGTAACATACCAACAGCTAAAAATAACTGCTTGGATTGTAGTACAACTGAGAGGCACGAAAGGCAGTAAGATGACATAATTAGGAAGGACTGTCCTTTGCTTGGATGAACAGCTGTGTTCAGCCACTTTTCCTGGAGAAAGAAATGCTCTGTCTAGTTAAACAAGTCTCCAGAGGAAGAGTACGTTCCTCTGCTGGAGGCCGAGTTATCGCAAAATGTTAACATTTAAAAAAAAAAAAACACCTCTACTGGCCTTGTTTGTTAGGCCTTTGCTGCTGTATAGCACCTTTCTCAGAATTACAGAATTAAGTGAAAAATTATAATAGTTATATTTGTATACTTGTATTATTTTTTTTTTACTTTATATTATATCCCATGGAAAGTTGTTTTTTTTGTATAGAAGACATGTGGTTTTATAAATGATTAAGTTACTAAATAACTTAATTAAACCTGTGACACTGATGTTTACTACAGATCCATGTTTAACATATAAAATTGTACTTGTTCCTATTTCATTCCTATTTCAAGGCATTTTGTATAAAAGGAGCCAAGTGGCAGTCCTCAATCCCATAATAAAATGCTACTAAAAGCCCATCAAATTACATTAATGTGACATGCTTTCTGGTATCATAATACAACACTGGGACTGCTGGATAAGGCACAATTACACAGATGTGTTAGCAACCAGTTGGTTTGGTGTGTGTGATGGATGGACATCAGGCTCTCTTGGAAATTAGATTTTTTTTACCTGGATATATAAAGGACTGCTAAAATGGGGTAAATTTGTACATATAGGACACTTCACTCACATACATCAGGACTGAAAAGCTGATGGAGAGTAGAAAAAAAAATACATGAATTCTAAAAGTAAACTGTGGTTGTGTTTAAATAGAAAAGGTTTAGCGTTGAGTTTCAGCACAATCTTAGTGTGAAATATCAGAAAAACACTTAAAAAGGAGTGCAATATTACTGAATTTCCAATTTGAAAGCAGTTTTGCTTAAAGAACAGATTCCATAAGATGTTCAGTCTGTTATAATCTACCAGCCGCAGTAATTTACTCTCTTTCACTTTCAGCATCTGTGCTGAACTCTTCCCTCTGCCCCTCCTCCTCTCTTCCCTCGTGGGAGTAATGCACCAGAGACTGGTGTCTGTTTCTGGACAGTGCGTCTTTAAAGCGCAGGCCGCAGTCTTCGCATGCATACGGCAGCCCCTCTCTTGCTCCTTCTGGCTGAGATTTGCCCTCGTTCCCACTGATCGGTGTAGAGGCGGGATGAGAAGCAATTAAATCTGAGGAATCCCGAGTATTCAGAACTGCATGTGAGTCGATACCTGGACTGTTGGATGCATTTAACGCAGCGCCGGTTGGAAGTGTCGTTCTGGGGCGCCCGGGCTGACAAGCACGACCTGTGGGTCCTCGGTACACGCCTCCAGTCTCCCCTGTGACCTCAGGAGCCAGCCCGTGGACTGTGCGGTAGTGGAAACGGATCCCGGAGCGGTTGGAAAAGCCCTTGCCACAGATGCTGCAGATAAAGGGTCTCTCTCCAGTGTGGATGCGAGTGTGGATCTTTAGCGCTCCGGACTGGGTGAAACACTTGCCACACTGGTTGCAGCGGTAGGGCTTCTCTCCTGTGTGCGTCCTCTGGTGGGCACGCACCCCTGCCAGATGGGGGAATCCTCTGCCACAGAAGCCACATGAATATGGCTTTTCACCCGTGTGAATCCGCCTGTGGATCTTCAGCGCTCCAGACTGGCTGAAACTTTTCCCACAGTCGGAGCAGGAGTAGGGCCGTGCACCAGTGTGCACATTGAGGTGTATGCGGAGGTTGCTGTGTGAATTGAAGGCCCTGCCGCACTCTGTGCAAATGAACCCGGCTGGTTTGTGAGCGTGCTCGGAGCGCTGGTGTTGTAGCAGCTGGGAAGGTCTAGAAAATGAGGCGGAGCAGTGCATGCAGGGATGCAGTGACGACAGCAAGGTTGTAGAAGTCCTAACCCTCTCCTCCTGCTGCTGTGCTTGCCTGTGCTGACGGTGGCACACCTGATTACAGGCATGAAAGGAGTGAGGGCAAGACAAGCATGGAAACGCGCCAGAGAGCCGAGCAGAGTGCGAGTGGGCGAGCTGGGGGCAGGGTAAACAGGACGTTAAAGGGCAGTGGTGGTGGTGAAAGTGATGGTGAGCATGGGTGTGAGAAAACGGGGAGTCTGTGCCCTCCTGGCGGCCTAGTGTCTGGGTACAGGTTTGCAGGCCGGGGTGACAACACAAGTGGGGAAACATAGAAAGATGGGACAAAGACGCTCTTGAAGGAGGCACATCAGAGTTTTGGTTCTGGCTCTGAGTCCCTCTGTCTACATCCTCGTTCTGTGATCGGCTGGGCAGGCCCGTCTCTAGCTCAGATGTAGTGGTGGTGGTGGTGCTGGGTAAGGTGGACTCTGGTAAACACATGCTAAGGCTCACTGGACCAGCAATACTGAGATCTTTTGGGTGGGATATGGTCTCTGAGTGTGGCGGCAAGGACAGAGGCTGTCTGGATGTTAGGGTCTCAAATGAAGGAGGGAGACTGGAGAAAGGGCAGCCAGGGCAGGTGCAGGCATGATGCAGATCTAAAGCTGAAGGACAAACCGAACCACATCAGTAGGAAAATTAAATGTACAAGAAAATGGGTGGACTTGTTTATTTACACGGCTCCTACCTTCTCTCCGGTCTCTGGTCTCTCTCGCCCTCTGTGATGCCCCTGCACCCATCTTTTCCTGAACAGGTCTAAGTGGCTCAAGCGATGTAGCTTTGAACGCAAGAGCACCATCAGCAGCACCACCTCCTGCCACGCCCCATGCTGCATTAAACACATCTGGCGGATTTTTTGAGGAGTTTCCAGATGTGATAAGGTCACCGAGGAACTGATGCATCTCCATCCAGGAGCACTGACCATGCTGCAAAAGGTACACAAAGCATGAGTGCAGAGGCTGCATGTGGTGAGTGAACAGACTCCACACAGTCCAGTTAGCTGGCTCGTGTGAGCTACTGGCTGCTCTCAAAATAGGCTGAAAACGTGACGTTTTAGCTAAAGCAAACAACAGACTCGCTTACTTACAATATCGCTACACTTGTCTTTGTCCATGAATTCAAAATAACGCCGCCGCTGGCGCCACAAAACCCACAGCAACGAATTTAAAGTTTTAAATTTCGATAGCACGGCTGGAAACGGTAGAAGAAAGTGCACTCTGTACAGCTTTTACACCTCGGCTGTCGACCATCCGTGTAGCCCACATAAAACATCCCGTCACCAGGCATTGTAGTTCCGGGATTTTTAAATCACGTGACGGGAGTTGTAGTCTTTTTTTCTTTCCTCCTCCTTTTTCAGAAAAGATGGGCGTTTATTTATTTTTTTATTTTTTTTAATATCTACTGGTAAGTTGTATTAATTTTTTTTGTTTTTATTCAATTTATAGCATTTATTGTATCCTGATAAACTGCAACTGTTATGTCAAATATCAAATGTGATTTTTGACATAACAGTTACCTACATGTTTTGTTTTGTTAGGTTACACCTATTCCACTGCTGGAAATGCAGATCTAATTAGCCAATCACACGGTACCTGCTCAGTACATTTAGGTGTGTAGACATGGTCCAGCGATCCAGAGGACCTGCTGAAGTTCAAATTGAGCATCAGAATAGGGAAGAAAGGTGTTGGTGAACGGTTGTTGGTGTCAGGCGGGCTGGTCTGAATATTTTATAAAGTGCTGATCTACTGAGATTTTTCCACAAAACCATCTCTAGGGTTTAAAGAGTATCAGCCAAAAAACAATAAATATCCAGGAAGCATCAGTTCCTCGAGTGGTCAGAGATCAGAGGAGAATAGCCAGGCTGCTTCAAGCTGAAAGGAAGGCAACAGTAACTGAAGTGAGCACTCATTTATGTAGAAGAGAATCCCTGATTTACTCCCTGCACACAGGCTACAGCAGCAGAAGATCACACCAGGTGTCACTCCTGTCAGCTAACTACAGGAAACTGAGGCCACTGTTAAATCTCGCCTCGTATCAAGATTTTTTAGGCACATTTGGGCAGAGCATGATTTAAACACCACGGTCTACCTGAGTAATGTTGCTGACCATCTGCATCCCTTTGTGACCACAGTGTACCCATGTTTCAATGGCTGTTTCCGGGAGTATAGTACAGTACGTTGCAAAAAAGCTCAGATCATCTGAAACTGGTTTCTTGAACATGAAAATCAGGTGGCTTCACTGTATTCAGGTGGCTTCTGCGGTCGCTAGATGTCAATCCAATAAAGCACCTTTAGTTGGGGTGCAACAGGATGTGGAGCAGACAAATCTGCAGCAGCTGTGATGCCATCATGTCAACATGAACCAAAATCTTGGAGGAATGTTTCCAGCACCTTCTATGCCATGAAAAATTAAAGCTGTTCTGAAGACCAAAGGGGCTCTAACCTGGGACTAACAAAGTGTATCTAATGACGTATCTGATGAATCTATGTCTATACACACACAGACTGTGGGTAAATATATAATGCCTTTTACACCCACAATTGTGGCCTAATAAATATATTTTTAAAGTTGTTATTGACATGAAATTCTCACCAGATGTCGGTAACAACCAATCCAGTCCACACATGCCAAGAAATTTACCCATAGGTGGCTATAAATTATGTGTAATAATGAGAAATAATGCAGGGGAAAGTACTGAACGCACAAAGAAAGGTAGGCACAATCTATGAGTAATTAGAAAGCAACCCTGCGGCTTTAATACCAGCTGGTTCACTCCCAGCTGATGGCTCATAAAAATGTTTCATTACCAAGTTGTCAAATATCTCATGATGAGATCTCTCACAAAACCTTCCTGTTTCAAAATATACTGATGGCACTGAGCACTGTTGGAGCTCTAATCTGGAAGTGGGAAGATTTCTGGCAGGAGTGAAAAGAATAATCAAGTGCCAGGGACCACTTGTGGAGAACTATGGAAAGACCTGGAATCAGCAGGCAACTCAAAGAAAACAATAAGTACTGCACTCAACTGCCATGGCCTGTATGCACACTCACCACACAAGACTCCACTGCTGAAGAAAAAATACGTTGAAGTGTGTTTAAGGTTTGCTGAAAAACATTTAGAGAAGCCTGCGAAATACTGGGAGAATATAGTCTGCTCAGATTAGGTGTAATTAAACTTTTTGGATGCCATATTTGGAGGTCAAAAAGACACTGCATATCACCCCCAAATCACCATACCAGCAGGGAAGTTTGGAGGTGGGAACATCACCCTACGGCACTGGCATGCTTCATATAACTCCTGCCATCTATGATGATGACGAAGATGAAACAAGGGTGGACATTTCAGCAAGACAATGATCCCAAACACACAGCCAAGGAAACTTGGTCTGTTAAAGAGAAAAGAAAAGCTGCTAGAAGGGCCCATTAAATCACCTGACCTGAATCCAAGTGAAAATCTATTAAAAATAGAGATCATGGAAGGGACCCACAGAAGCTCCAAGGTTGATCCAACTAGTTTCTCCATATAGGAGGCATGTGAAGCTGCCATCACCAGCAAAGGCTTTTATACAAATTATTACATTTCAGTAAGTGTGCTCAGTACTTTGTCCCTGTGTCAAGGACATCTGTGGCTTGATATCTTTGCATGTGTGGACTGGATGGGTTGATACCAACATCTGGTGGGAATTTCATGTCAATAGCACCTTTAGAAATTAGAAATTTACTTAGAAAATTGGTGACGTGTTTGATACTTATTTTACCTGCTGTGTATATCAAATCAAATCAAAATTTATTTCTATAGCACATAATAATACAACAAAGTTGACCAAAGTGCTTCAGTCGGTCAGAGCAATAGCATAAGACAGAATAAAAAGAAACAGTTAAAAGGAGGGCAGGAAACAATATGAACAATATAGGGGAAAAAACATAACTAGCCACGAAATAACATTAGTTTAAATCAAAAGCCAGACTAAAATAATACGTTTTAAGACTCAATTTAAAAGACTGGATGGACTCAGAGGAATGAATATAAGGAGGGAGGTTATTCCAGAGTCTAGGTGCTACAACAGCAAAGGCCCGATTACCTCTGGACTTCAGACGAGACCTCTGTTGTGTCAGGAGCATTTGATTGGAAGATCTAAGTGCCTTATTAGGGATATACAAATGGAGGAGTTTGCAGAGATAGCTGGGAGCCAAATCGTTTAAAATTTTAAAGGTAAGCAAGACAATTTTGAAATTGATATGATTTTCAAAAGGGAGCCAATATAGGTTGGCTAAATCAGGTGTAATGTTGGCATAATTTCTAGTACCAGTTAAGAGACGCGCAGCTGCGTTTTGAAATAACTGGAGCCGGTGAATAGAGGAAGACGGGTGGCCTGAGTAGAGGGAATTACAGTAGTCTAATTTGGAAGTGATAACTTTTCAAGGTCCTTCAAAGATAGATATCTGACGCAGCTGGTAGAAACTGTTTTCTACCACAGAGGAGATCTGTTTCTTGAGTTTGAAAGAGCTGTCCAGGAAAACACCAAGGTTTCTAACAGTGAGCGAGAGATGGCTAGCAAAGGGGCCTAAGGCATCAGTTAGTCACGCCCCGCTGGAACAACTATCAAAAACTATAACTTCTGTCTTATCCTCGTTCAGTGTGAGAGAGTTGCGTGATAACCACGTTTTGACCTCATTTAGACAGTTAAATAGGGGTATAAACAGTATATCCATTTTTCAAAGATGTTACAGGAAATGAACCTCACTATGTCCGACTCTGTGGCTGTATGGTTTCAGACTTCTCATGACCCTAACGAGAGCTATATTTTGGCACATATATTTTTTCATTTGGTAGTTTTTAGAATTTAAGGCCAACTTTTTGCAACAGAAGGCAATACTGTAGATAGGCAAACTTAAAAAAACAGTTTCAGTGCGACTCACCTTGCATCCAAACAAGCATTTATTAACCTTTATAAAAACAAAATATACCTGCAGACTGTTTAGAGTCATGAAATGTTAATCACAAGAAGACATCTATTCATTCTACTAATCAGTACCATTCATAATGAAATATTTAACATAGCACTAAAATGCTAGTTACTATACAAAACAAGCTTTCAGAAAAAAAAAAACCCTGTTTCCCTCTAGTTTTGACAGTTTACAAAAAGAATCAGTTTTCCAAGACGATAAGAACATGACAGAAATTTTAATGCTAATAGAAATTCTGCATCACACTGCATAGGATTCATCTCCATTCATTCTTCCTCCAGCAGGCTGAATTTACAGCCTTATATCTGAATGCAAAAGGAAAGAAGAAAAAAGTGCCTCGACAAATAAAAGCTTGGAATGTCTTGTTTAAATTACAGATGCAAGAAAACTGTCACACTTTGACCCCTTTCAGACATGGATCCTTGTCTGTTAATATGAACAGCATGTGAGCAGGTCAGCTTCAGGTCTGAACCAGCACACTGGTCACCGTTCTGTGGAAGCGATGATGATCGTCTTACTAGACAACCATCATCGAGTCTGAACGGGTAAAGACACATTCCTCCGTCTCCAGTCTGTTGCACACGTATCGAGATTCTCTCATTGTATATTTCTGAATGTAGAGGCCAATTCATGATAAAGTGACCTATAAGCTCAAAATAAGCTAGACATATTCTTATACTGTCAATGATGGAGCTCCATTTCCTCTGAATGGCAACCCCTACCCCCCAAACAGTTTTATACAGCAGGTGGGAGGAGCTTGTGTGCTTATACATATAGCTGTATGCCTGAGATGACCAACCAAGGATATCCCTGGTCAGGGTGTACTCACATGAGACGATCTGTACCATGCAGGAGTGCAGTTGAACCCTCAGAGTCGAGCTCATTTGTCTGTTGTGATTGCTGGGTGCTGTACCAGGAACATGTTACAAAAGTGGTTCTGTTGTGACGTTGATGTAGAGCAATTGCTGCTGACTAACTTCAGCTTTGTCAGTGATAGCGGCTCCGGCAAAACTCATTTAGGAGACACGACTTTTCCAATTAAGCTACAACATGTAAAAAAAAAAATAAAAATCGTGAGCTTACAAGAGTGCCTTTCAGGGTGTGTGCGAGAGAGGGAGGAGCTGAGATGCTCAGACAAAGTAATGCATACTTGTGTCTAGATAGTTGAGTGCAGGGGAGCAGGAACAATCATGCACAGGCAACCGTGTCTAGTGTGAGTACACCCTCACTGACATCATACTTTGGCTATGTTTAATATGAGCATCCACCATTGTAACAGTAATGAAGTAAAGGCATAAAAAAAAATCCCCTTCGATAAACCGATGAAGCCAGCAATATTACGTTTTTCTGCATGGAGCTTCTGAAACAAAAACCACAGTCACACTAATAGTCTATCCTGCTGACAAAAGTGGGAATAGTTATAGGAAAATGCTGCCTTGTCATAAAACCGTATGATGGTCAATATACAAATTACACAGTAATGTATGTAATTCTAACAGTATATTAAATGCTTCCTTTACAGGGTAGGGAATGTGATCTTTCTCTCCTTTTCTGACCTTGCTTTACTTTATTTTTCCTTACCAGCACTTGAAATGTTAACTTCAATCTTAATCTCTTTCTCTAGCTTGTAGTCTGTCAGTTGGCTTGATTCGGACGACCACAAATCACAACCAGAAGTCTGAGGCTCTTTCTTTATATCCACTATGAGTCCTGTGGGAGCTGTCTTTATTGAGGTTGTTCTAGCTGTCACTTTGCTGTGATGGTTTCCGAATTCTTGTCTTCCAGCATTTACAGCCTGTCCTGAGATTTCAAATTCTTCTGGTTCACCTTTAACAGGAAGGTACGTCACTGCAGACTTCTTAGACAGATCCAAGGGTGCTTCTGGATCCGGTTTAACCCCACTTAACAGATCCAGTGGGGCACTTAGTGTCGCTCCAAGAGCAGCACCGACTGCGAGTGGACCCTCCGGCAGAGCTTGCATAGCTGTGATGGGTAGTGTCTGAGGGATTGCAGATGGGAGCGGGAGCCCGTTGGCTTGCGTTGGACAAACAGGAACGAACAAGACAAGATTGACACCAGCAGGCGGCCGTTTATCAAGGGTTAGCTTCCACAACCCATCTGATGGACCAGTGCCAGTAGACACACCCTCAGTCACGTGACCTGGATTGCTAGTATCCTCGACTGGTGGAGCAGGGTTGTTTAAAACAACAGCGGGCAAAGTGACTGCGTTTGCTGTGTTGATTGAGTCTGGTGTAGTGCTGTGCTTTTTTCTCTCCAGCACAGAGCTCTTTAAAGACACACGTTTCTTGGTGGTACTCTAGAAGGGGAAAAATAGCAAAAGCATTTCAGTGTGACTTTATGATATGAAAAGAGTTCCTGGAAACAGGTTTCTGAGCATATCTGTAGCTACATCAGAGCAAAAAAACAAAAACAAACGATGGGTTGCTATAAAGGTTGCTCGTGTTGCACAAAAACATCCTGCAATGAGTAAGATCAAAAGTAAGATAAGACCGATGTGCACTCCTATTTACTCAGATATGTCAATAGTTGATCCTGGTTTAGAATCATTGTGCTGACACAAAAACAGCTGGCTAAGAAATACAGCCACACCTACACACAGACACCTGGCTACTTGTGGGTTAGTCGATTAAGCAGGTTTCTCATGTTTGAGAATACAGATATAAACAGTAATTGCGAATTGGAGGAAATAGTTTTCCACAACCCTTAAAATCCACTGCCAAAGAAAAGTGGCTGCTTTCATCCACATAGCTCCATGGCAACCAGCAGCTGTAGGAGGCTCTACGCGCTCTTCTGGCCTGACTAGCTCAGTTAATCTGTGCAACTTGATTTTGAAATAAAGTTGTTTCATTAAAGTATTTCTGTACCAATCTGGAAGATGGAAAATCTTCTTAGCGTGCTTTAACAGAAGAGGCAGCAGCAGTGTAAAAACTGTAAGTTTCACACACTCACCGCAGACTGAGGTGTTTGTCCACACGTCTTAAGGTGGCTGTCATAGTTCTGCTGGTGGGGAAAGCCCAGTCCACAGCTCTGACAAAGGCAGGGTGACTGCCCGGCATGGCCGCCCATGTGGGACATCAACAGCAAGGCCGACCGGAACCCCTTCCCGCATTCAGCGCACTTCAGCACCCTCTGATGAGCTCCAGCATGTTTCTTCAGCTCTTCTGACGAGTCAAACCTCTGTCCGCACTCCAAACATCTGATCTCGTTCGTTTTCTCACTCGGCTCCTGATTGCCCCAGCAGCCCGTGTCCTTTTTGTGCTGCTGGAAGTCCTCCTGACTGAGAAACTCCCTCAGACACGCCACGCAGTGAATGCGTTCAGGTTCACATTTGTGCTGGCGGTACAGCTTAGCCAATCGGAAGTGGCAGCGACACCGTATACACGTGTAAGGCAACAAACCCAGGTGGGAGAAACTGTGTTTTAGCAGTGCATTCTTCTTGGTAAACACCTTTGTGCAGTCTGTGCATTTAAAATTACGGTGGCACTTCTTCCTCCGGTGGCGCGCCAGGGATTTCGGCGATGAGAAGTTGCGGCCACACACTTCGCACATGACATTCAGCATACACTTATGTAGCTGCACGTGATATTCGCATGCCTTTAGGGACGTGAACACGCGTTTGCACAGGTCACACTCATAGAACTCGTCCTCCAAGTGAGTTTTTGCCAGGTGGTCGTTCAGATCTTCCTGCGACGCAAAGCCCATCAAACAGACTCGGCACTGGAGACGATCCACTTTGGTCTGCGCGTGCGTGCGCAGGTGGACGCGATAGTTGTATATCTGGCAGAAGCGCTTCCCACACTCTGCACAGCAGTATGGGCGTGCTCCTGTGTGGAGGTTCTCATGTGATCGTGGAGCTTGAACTTGGAGGGCAGATGCTGTTGACACACGCTGCACCGGTAGTCACCTGACTGGCTCGACTCTAGAGGGGGGGAAAAAAAGGAAGGAAGTGTGCTAATTAAAAAGTCATCTGCTGTTTTTCACTTCTTTTTTCTTGTCCAGTAAGAAAACTGAGGGGGAAAAAACAAACAAACAAAAAAAAACACACACATTCCATGTCAGTGTTTCAAATGACAGCCATCATTTGAAACACCTGCCTTTTTGTCCTATTTCAGTCCCAGCCAGCATGTAGTTACAACATGTGATTGTTGGGCTTTTTTTCCTCTGTATGTATTATTGTAGAGTGTAGAGTGTCTGTTTAGGAGACGTTAAATGGCCTGTATTTGTATAGCGCTTTACTAGTCCCTAAGGACCCCAAAGCGCTTTACACATCTAGGCACTATAGTGCCAAGGTTCATGCGAATGAGTAAACAATTACAAGGCCAAGTGCAGTGTTGTTGTTTGTTGTTCTCATGAGATTTGTTGACACTAAGGGAAACTATCACAGGCTCAGACTTCAAAACCACTATGCAAATAAGGCCATTTTACTCGGCATTTAGTTTGTGTATCAGGAGCAACTACCTGCCAATTACAGGAAAATCTGATATTTAGTTTTTTTGTTTATCTTGTGTTGAACCTTTCACCTGCACATGGGTGCATGTGTGATATTAACATATGGTCTTACCACTAGTTAGCTCCTCATCCTCCTCTTCCTCATCAACCTCTTCCTCCTCATACACCTCTGACACTTCACTGTCATCCGAGTCATCCTCCTGCACTTCTGCCGATTCACCCTCAGCCATGTCTACATCAGGTCTCTGCCCTCCTCCATCTCCATCAACACCCCCTCCTTCCTGTTCAGCGATCACCGGGGGAATGTCTGTGGTTTCTTGTAAAGCAATGGGATCACTCATCACTGTGGGTGCTGACGGTTCAGCGAGCGCTGTCTCGCTGCCACTTTGTTTGTCTTGCAGCCTTTTTGTTGTGGGATTCAGCCGTTTACAGTTTAACATCTCAGTCCGTTTGGATGGACCAGAGGCCACTGTGGTTTCTTGGGTGTCTGAGGTCTGTCCTGCTGCACCTACTACTTTGCCACCTCTGAGCAGCCGTTTCGGTTTATGTTTGGTTGGAAGTGAAGTGGGAGAGTGACTGGGTGAGATGGAGCCATCAGATGATGTGGAGCGACACGGTGTTTGTCTGACCAAAGCCTCCTCCGGCTGCAGTATGTCCGGAAATCCCAACTCTGTCAGCTGGATATCAATGGTGTATTCAATGGACATGACTGGAGGCTGAGGAGACATGAAACAGAGAGAGGGGTCCGTGTTCAGCTAACATTTAAAACGCTAACGCGTCTCACAGTTAGTGCACGTGTACTAATAAACAAACACTAGCACAAATGTGCTTCAGCTGATCTGCCGAGCGACTGTTACAAGCCTTCAGGATCCTTTTTTATTCTCAACATTTAATTTAAAGTCGTTCATGCCACACCTTAAAGAACTGCTGGTCACCTCTCTCACCTGGCAGGAGAAGCAGATGAAGCCAAGCGTGGTTTTTACAACCTTTTCTCTCGATGCTAGCTTTGCAAAAAAAAAAACATCTATACATATCGAAACATATGACACGTCTAATTTGTACGATAAAAACAAAAGCACTATTCAGCATGAGATAAAATAAGCCCGATAACCCAATTAGCCAGCTACAAACTCACCTCAACCGAAGATGAACATCGAGGTAATAAGGACAAAAAGGAAAACACAGGGAAAGAAATTCACACAAACGCTGGAGCACGCCTGGTGGCTCGGAGTGGTATTACACGGTCTTACAGCTGCACAGGTGTGCAAGCAGGGCAATATTTTAAGAAACTTTTAAATACATTTTGTAAAAAAGATAATATGTAGTGTGATTTAGACTGGTCTTATAATGCATAGGTATTAAAGTCAGTTTTGTATCTTATTAGTTACGTTCATATAAATGCATGGATTCTATGAGATTTTTATATGTAGGTTATAATGGAAAGCTATGGCAGAAAATGTACTGGTATTCACATAGCACCTTTCTAGTCAGCTGAGCACTCAAAGCCCTTTTACTACAAGTCTCATTCACCCCTATGCACTTTGTAACAGTCTCATACACACACTGATGCATCAGGAGAAACTGAAGGTTCAGTATCTTACACAATAATACTTTAGAATGTAGATTTGAGAAGCCAGGTTATTAAGGACTGAGAAAAGTGGCACCAGGTGTGCCTTTCTGCTGTCGTGCATTCAGAGATGCTCTGAATGCACAACAGCAGTTTTTGAGTTACTGTTACCTTCCTATCAATTTCAGTCTTGTAATTCTCCTCCATTGTTTACCATCACTAAGTCATTTTCACCCAGATAAATGGCCGGATAATTTCTCTTTTTGCACCATTCTCTATAAAACCTAAAGATGGTTATGTGTGAAAATCCCAGTGGATTTGTGAAATATTCAGACCTGTCAGTTTGGCACCAACAACTACGCCATGTTCAAAGTCACTTAATCACCTTTCGTCCCCATTCTGAGGCCCAGTTTGAACTTCAGCAGGTCATCTTGACAATGTCTACATACCACTGCATTTAGTTTCTGCTGTGCGATTGATTAGAAATTAACAAGTAGTTGAACCTTTATGATGTACCTAATAGTGCATTAACATCAAGAAAATCCTAAATAACATCATGCCACAGGCTACTTAGGAAGAGCATGTCTGACATTTGTTTTAGTGATTCAGCTGTCAATGAAAACCCACCATTTACACTTAGTTCTCTTCCAGGCTTGGGGAAAAAGGCCTTCTTAACATTACGCTAAAAATAGATACTAATTTCAAAACCACATGAAACCCAGCATGCATCTTTTTCAAAACAAACTGCATTATCACCACAAGCAATGCAACTCCTCATTTTAGTTGGTGCTCCTGAATTCCAAATAAGAACAGAAACAATAAGTTGAGTCGTCTTTTCAGCAGCCTCCCTTGGGATAGCAAGTTTTATTTCATGTCCAGACACATTGCAGTGGGGAGAGAACAATCCAATCAGTGAGTAACACATGATATACACAGTTCCTTATTGGATACTAGAGCATTAAAGAACCACCAGTCCCATTCAAAAATGTCTAAGACATTAAAGATCATTTTAAAAGAGCATTGTGTAGGATTCATTGGCATCTAGTGGTGAGGTTGCAGATAGCAACCAAAGTCATTTTCCAAGCATATACAACTACTTGTGACTGAGCAGCAGGAAAGGCCCTTCTTAAGGTCTGGTTTGTTCATTCCAGGCTACTATAGAAAAATGGCGACTACATGACACACCTACTTTGCATTTTACATGGATGGCATGTATTTATGTTTACAGAGTTTTCTTCTCTACAAAACTACACGGACCTCTCAGGTGAGGATCCTCTCCCTCTGTAGATACTAATGTGGTTAGTAATTCCAGTTTAGTATATACAATTATGAATATTATATTTCATTTTGCCCAATAGACCACCCTAAATCCTGCACACTGGTCCTTTAAACAAGTGAAAAAATAAGGGAGTACATTTTAGCATCAGACAAATCAGGATTAAAGTGGATCATTTCTGCCCACATGCCAACCACTCCACATTGAACTGGGAGCACTTAGCAAAAAATAAACTTTCAGCAGAGCTTAATCGTGTTATTTTAAAATTCCTCCTCAATGAGACTTAATTTATAAAGTAACATAATCAAAATATTAAGTGTAAAAATGCACAATAAGAACCCGAAGCTGTACATGACATAATTCTTCTTGAAAAACAAAAACAAAACAAACAAAAAAATGACTAAACAATTAAACATAGTATCACTACCAGGTATCTAAATATACCTCAACACATGTAATTGCCCAAAATTTAAAGGGGGAAAAAAAGAGGGAAGACATTTTTTTTTTTTTTAAACCACAAAGTGAGTTCAACAACTCAAGACACAAAGTAATAAATTCACACGCATTTCACACTTAAAAAAGAAAATCCTTTAAAAAGTTAA